GGGGGTTTGAAAACCATATTAGTAATTCTTTTGCCAGAGACAACACAAGTTCTCCTCATTTCCTGGCCTTCAGACCATTCCTGCATATCTGACCACCATCTGAGGTCTACAGCCACTATTGGGTCCCCGGGCTTCCATCACGGGGTCACAGTTCCTATCGCTGTCCCCGAATTCTGGGCCACCTGAGGACACAAACTTTCTTCATCCATTTTCTCACCAGAGGCAACTTTCGCGGAAATGTCATTTATTGGAACGATTTTCTCATTTCCTCCGGTATTAAATGGCCTTTTTATATTAAAAAAACTCCCAGAGCGGTGAGGACCTCTGCGCCCCATGTCATTAAATCTCTCTCGTTCAGCACTAAAATTACCTTCATTACTTCGTTACTCCCTCCCCATATAATTGGCCACTCTGCCGCGCCTGCCTAATGGGTTGCAAGAGTAAAGCCCTACAAACAACGCGCATGCACAAACGGAAAAGAAAGCCAGCAGTTCAGCAGTTCAGCTTTCAAGCTGAACCCAGACTTTGTGTTCACCAAATGCCTTTTCAAACACAGATATTACCTTGTAAAAAAAAAAAAAAGCAGTGACATCATCACTGTGCTGTACATAGCATGTGCAGAAAGAAGAACTGCAGGAGTAGAGGGACCCAGCAAGCCCCACCCATAAACGCCCCCTGCCTGCCCACCCACACATCAATTACCCAGGAACCAAAGTCTTTAGGAAGGAGCTCTTGCTGGTTTCCAGGCAACAGAATCCTTGGTGATCAGCCTAGTTTTCTCTAAAGGAGACTAGGTAGAGCAGACATCTTACAGGAAAGGTGAAGTCCTTTGGGGGAGGGTAGCCATGAGTATTCTTATCCTGCCCCCGCTTGGGTATACCAGACCCTCCCACACATCAATTATCCAGAAGCTTTATGAAAGGGCTCTGGCTGGTTTTAAGGCAATAAGGTCCTTGATGACCAGCCTAGTTTACTGTAAAGGAGAACATGTAGATTAGATCCCCTTGCAGGAAAGGTGAAGCTCCTTGGAGGAGGGTAGCCATGAATTGCCTAATCCTACCCCCGCATAGGTGTACCAGGCCCGCCCACATATCAATTGCCCAGATATCAGAGGATTCAAGGTCCCTGATAACCAGCCTAGTTTGCTGCAAAGGAGAAAAGGTAGATTAGTCCCCTTGCAGGAAAGGTGAGGCTCCTTGGAGGAGGGTAAGCATGAATTGCCTAATCCTACCCCCACAATGGTGTACCAGGCCCACCCACATATCAATTACCCAGGTACCATGGGATTTAAGAAGGGACTCTTGCTGGTTTTCAGCCAACAAGGTCCTTGATGACCAGTCTAGTGTGCTGTAAAGGAGAAAAGGTAGATTAGTCCCCTTGCAGGAAAGGTGAAGCTCCTAGGGGGACGGTAGCCAGGAATTGACTAATCCTGCCCCTTATTGTGTGTACCAGGCCCACCCACACATCAGTTACTTAGGAACCAGAATCTTCAAGACAACAAAGTCCTTGATGACCAGCCTAGTTTGCTGTGAAGGAGAAAAGGTAGATTAGACCCCTTGCAGGAAAGGTGAAGCTCCTAGGGGGAGGATAGCAATGAATTGCCTAATCCTGCCCCTGCTTTGGTGTGCCAGGCCCACTCACACATCAATTACTTAGGAACCAGAATCTTCAAGAAGGGGCATTTACTGCTTCAGACAAGAAGGTCCTTGATGACCAGCTGTGAAGGAAAACAGGCAGATTAGAGCGCTTGCAGGAAAAGAGAAGCTCATAGGGGGATGGTAACTACGAATTGCCTAATCCTGCCCCTGCTTGGGTGCTCCAGACCCACCCACATATCAGTTACTTAGGAACCAGAATCTTCAAGACAACAAGGTCCTTGATGACCAGCTGTGAAGGAGAAAAGGTAGATTAGTCCCCTTGCAGGAAAGGTGAGGCTCCTAGGCGGAGGGTAGCCAGGAATTGCCTAATTCTGCCCCTGCTTGGGTGTACCAGGCCCAACCGCACATCAGTTACTTAGGAACCAGAATCTTCATGAAGGGCCATTTACTGCTTCAGACAACAAGGTCCTTGATGACCAGCTGTGAAGGAAAAAAGGTAGATTAGACTGCTTGCAGGAAAAGTGAAGCTCCTGGGGGGCTGTGGCCAAGAACTGCCTTATCCCACCCCCACTTGGGTGAGTTCCTTGCCATTTAAGACCACCCAAGAAGTTGATCATGATTGCTTGTATTTTCAGCATATATTTCAATGCTGATCTTGCAAACTTCAGTATCCCTTTGGATAGGACCAGCCTGTGGCTCTAAAGGGCGAATACCATTCTGCTAACGTACAGTAAAGGAGACTTTGATTTGTTGAGATGGAGCACTTTTCAATAGATCTACAGTAGCCATTGGGACTACCAATTAAAAAAAATTAGGAATCTTAGAGCCCATGAAGAGCTACGAAGAGCTCATGAAAATCATGTATGACTTGCTGGCTGGGAAGGTGCATCCCTTTCATCCCTTTAATTCACAAAATGGAACAGATTCTGAGCCAAGACAAGTCTGTTCCCAGCGGATGCTTAGTGGCAGAAAACGGATTACATTTAATTTCCCGGACGCGTCCGAGCAGCTGCGGAGAAGCAAAGTACACAGCGCCAACAGCGAGGCACTGAGAACAGCCAGTGCCGAGGAAATGTTCCCTTCTGCCGTTTGCAGCCCACAGACCGTCTGATAACTGGCTTGGGGACACAGGTGTCCCATGTCACTTGTTAATAAGCAGGGAAAAAAGGAGAAAAGAAAATGAAGGGGACTTCCGCTTTCGGATGACTAACCTCACGGCTTGCAATGCCAACTGGAAACATTTTATTTCTTTCTCGCTTCCTTCTCATAATCTTGTTGCCCGGGGACACTTGGTGTTCTCTGCCACAGATTGTGTCTATATGCTAATGGAAGACAGTAAGACTTGGCTGAGAAGGAAGCTATGAAGAAAAAGCCACCGCTTTACTAAACCTTGCACAAGCGTGGACAGTGCTGAGCTTGTCAGCCAAGGCGGCAAACCTGCCGCATCTCCATTTCCTTGTCCACTTGGTGCCATCTTTCCGGCAGAGTTCTCTGTGCCATGCGAACATTATTGTACACTGTAGCTGTGAACTAAGAGCGCCCACTCCTAGTTCGTTGACCACGCTGTCATTGACAGCCTCAAGTATCAGGAGGCTAATGATCAGGAACCTGTCAAGAGGGTACTTTTATAAAAAAGGGCTTTTATAAAAAAAAAAAAAGAGGGTACCTAATGATGTGATCACCATTAATCACTTGCAGGATCAAGAGAGCAGGTTTTAGTTGGCGGGGCTTTGTGATTGTTGAAGGTGCAAGATCTGGAAACATCTGGTACTTGTAGGGAGGTTTAGGGCCTTTTTTTTCTCAGGTTGACTCTTTAGTGTGATGGTATAAGAACTTGACAATGATGTGCCTGGGTGGCCCATCCCTGGACTGTGCAGTAAGAGCTTAGAGAATCCTTTCAAACTCTAGTCTTTCCATTGGGAAGATGGGTTGGGTTCCTGTATTAAGACAGCGATGGTGGACTGGAGAACCTCAACAGTCTCCGGGATGCCCCAAATGCTGAGGTTGGATCTACTGGGACTGTTTTCCAAATCTTCCAGTTTAGATAAGAGTGTTCTTTTGTCATCTTTGAGGGCTTTTTTTTCTTTGTCCTGTCCCTCCATTGTGACTGCCATGTTGTCCACCTCGGACCAGTTCATGGATCTTTCTAGTAAGTTTATCTGTAATTTACTAGGATGTAGCCTATAGGGCTTGGTGGAGCATGCGTTCAATTCTTTGAAGGAGTTCTTGATGTGTTGAGGGTTCCTGAGTCCTGTAGGGCTTGGTGGAGGATGTGTTCAATCCTTTGAAGGAGTTCTTGATGTGCTGAGGGCTCCTGAGTCCTGTAGGGCTTGGTGGAGCATGCATTCAATCCTTTGAAGGCGTTCTTGATGTGCTGAGGGTTCCTGAGTCCTGTAGGGCTTGGTGGAGCATGTGTTCAATCCTTTGAAGGAGTTCTTGATGTGCTGAGGGTTCCTGAGTGAGTGAAGGGAAGCTTGTCCCGTATCTCCATCATCATCCTCATGCAGGCCTAGAGATACTTTGCAAAAGACCGGCATGTCTAGGTCAGTTAAGTCTGCAGGTCATGCGAGGACTTCTTTGATGGATCTGCCTCATGCCCTGGCACGCTTTGGTTGAGTCACGTTGCTGGTGGTGAATGTGTATAGGTGTCGGTGCCAATGGTGCAGGGTTGAATCAAAAGGTCCAGACCAGTTTATAACCCTTCTTGTTCCCCTTTCTAGTTCCAGAGAGGTATAGAGCAGGTTCAGGAATTATGAATGGGGTTCAATAAGCATTGATAGGCCAAGCAGATTCTGAGTGAGGAGACATCCCTGTCCGGGGTCTCGCTAGCGGACAGATTCCCAGCTCCGCCCGCCCACCCACCATAGCCAAAAGATTAATATGTTCCCTGTGGATTTTATATATTTCAGAGTTTGGAAAATATATTGGGGGGGGATCTTGGTGTATTAACAAAAAAAGGCCGAAGGTGACTCAAACAACCGGGATCCAGGAGTTCTTGAAGGAATGACCCTTTAATATATAACTGCTTATACGTGTCTTGAAGACCTTCTCATAGGAACAGTCATCCTGTGTGGTGCAGGTGAAAGAGAATTCAGGCGTGGGTCAGGGGAGAAATAGTTATAGGATCATAAAATATGATTCACTCTGAGGATGCTGAGCAGGCAGGTGGGTGGGATACCTGAGGGCTAAGATGGGTTTACAGGTGGGAGATAGTTCAAGGGGGCCATCACCTTGGCGTTGACCTCCACTGGTAGTCCAATGATCAGGCAGAGCCAGAGCAGTGGCCTTGAGTCTGCAGAACTGCAGGCTCTGAATAATATTGTCACCCACCGTACAGCCTCCATATATAAATAAACATTGACTTACTGTCTGATTCCTCGGGTAGGTAGCGATCCACCAGGTCCTCCGCTTGGGTCACCACGAAATAAACTGAGACTTTCACCATGTCTCTGACCTCCAACGTCTCCAGGAAAGAGGCGACTATAGAGACGGCCTCATAGGATTCTCTGCCCACTGCCCGAGTCCTGTCCACTACATTCTGCACCCTGTCCAGAGCCCGGTCCCTCACCGTCCTGACCCCGCTCACCAGCCTCTCCCGGAATTCTGACACCACCTGTACGAGGAAACCATCATCTTATCGGTGTGGGAGGAGCTGACCATACACACCAAACAAATCTGATCGTACAATCTCACAACACATTTGTTTTATTAGATTGTGAGGTCCAAGCTGAACACTGAGCCAGTCATGTCAGTCTCTGCACCAGAGGAGCTTACACTCTTATGTTGCCCCACCACACACTATTATTATTATTATTATTACTAACAACAAAATTAATAATAATAATAATAATAACAATAATAATATTGTTGTTGTTATTATTAA